TTTTGTACCGGCAGCCATCTTAGATTTACAATGTTATTGATATTACTATATTGTATTGTCATCGGAACTAAAGGTGTGTACCAAATTTCAGATCAATCTGACAACAGGAAGGTACTTAAATTTCAATTTCTAATTTTGACCCAAGTAAGCAAACAAATAAATAAATACCGTACGGGTCGAGCTAAATAAAACCGTTTAAAAAATGAACAATGCCTTCGATACCACCTGCCCAAGGAGAGCCTTAAAAGTCTTCAAACTGTTGCTGATGAAGAAGGACGCAACCAACAACTGCCACGAAGAAAAATCTTACTAAATAATATTGTTGAATTGTAATATATTTAAAAAGATGTATATATTTTTGTCAATAAATATTTATTACTAGCATGTACCCGCGACTTCGTTCGCGTCGAATTAATCATTTGTAATGGTGATGATAAAGCAAAGCAAGAATTTCCATTAACATACAAACTGGATAAAATTTTCTCACATTTATGTCAGCATGAAAAAAAACAATATGGCGATATTATTATATAACTTGATAATATTTGAGGGGTAGTTTCATCTCGTTGGAATTTTACATTCGTAAAATCCGTTTGCCAAAAATAAGCTTATTACGTCAAGCAGTTTAAGCAGAATCGTGGTTAATCAATTACCCAACTTTTTGGAACACCCTGTATGATTTATAAAAATTAAAATATGTAAAAAAATATATAATATATGTAAATAAATTATGCGTGTTTCCCGAAAGACTAACCGTTTTTTAAATAACAAATATTGTAATATTTGAGGGGCGTTTTCGCCCTCTTGGAATTTGAGATTCGAGAAACCCCTCCTTATCGAACCTCTACATCCCACAGTCAATCCGTTTGCCAAAAATCAGGTTTAAACATCAAGCAGTTTAAGCAGAATCGTGATTAATCAATGGTCATATTTTATGAAACAGCCTGTATAAATTTTTAAAAAATCTTAAAATATGTAAAACAGCAAAATAAGATACACGTGTTTAAGAGTTTTTCCGAAAAACTCACCGGTTTTTAAATAAAAAATATTCTAATATTTGAGAGATGATTTCACCCACTTAGAATTCGAATTTCGAAAAATCCCTTCGTATCGAACCTCTATACCCTAAAGTCGATCCGTTTTCCTAAAATCAGCTTTTTAGGTCAGGCGCTTTAAGCAGGATCGTGATTAATCAATGATCAGATTTTCCGAAACACCCTGTATACATTTTTAAAAAATCTTAAAATATGTAAAAAAACAAAATAAAATATACGTGTTTAAGCGTTTTTTTCGGAAACTTGACCGTTTTTTAAATAAAAAATATTGTAGTATTTGAGGGGTGGTTTCACCCCCTTGAACCTGGAATTTCGAAAAATCTCTTCTTATCGAATCTCTACACCCTAAAGTCAATCCGTTTTCCAAAAATCAGCGTTTTACGTCAAGCGCTTTAAGCAGGATCGTGATTAATCAACGACCAGATTTTTCGAAACACCCTGTATACATTTTTAAAAAATCTTAAAATATGTAAAAAAAGAAAATAAAATATACGTGTTTCAGCGTTTTTTCGGAAACTTGACCGTTTTTTAAATAAAAAATATTGTAATATTCCACCCCCCTTTTTACCCCCTTAGGGGATGAATTTTTAAAAATCCTTTTTTATCTTACGTAAACATCATAAAAGGAACCCCTGTGCAAAATTTCAGCTTTCTAGGGTCAAGGGTTTGGTCTGGGCGTTGATGAGTCAGTATCAGTCAGGACAGTCAGATTTTATATATAAATTATTTGAGAGGCGTTTTTCACCCTCTTGGAATTTGAGATTCGAGAAACCCTCCTTATCGAACCTCATACCCCACAGTTCAATCCGTTTGCCAAAAATCAGCTTTAAACGTTAAGTTTAAGCAGAATCGTGATTATTCATATGGCCATATTTTATAGAACACCCTGTATAAATTTACTAAAAAATCTTAAAATATGTAAAACAACAAAATAAAATATACGTGTTTAAGAGTTTCGAAAAAACTCACCGGTTTTAAATAAAAAATATTCTAATATTTGAGGGGTGGTTTCACACCCTTAGAATTCGAGTTTCGGAAAATCCCTTCTTATCGAACCTCTACACCCTAAAGTCAATCCGTTTTCCAAGGATTCATCTTTTACGTCAAGCATTTTAAAGCAGCATCGTGATTAATCAATGACCATGATTTTTGAAACACCCTGTATATATTTTTAAAAATCTTAAAATATGTAAAAAGAAAATATAAAATATACGTGTTTAAGCGTTTTTTCGGAAACTTGACCGTTTTTAAAATAAAAAATATTGTAATATTCCACCCCCCTTTTTACCCCCTTAGGGGATGAATTTAAAAAAATCCTTTCTTATCTTACGTAAACATCATAAAAGGAACCCCTGTGCAAAATTTCAGCTTTCTAGGGTCAAGGGTATGGTCTGGGCGTTGATGAGTCAGTATAAGTCAGGACAGTCAGATTTAAAATAGATATTTAAAAAAATATATGCTGAAATAACCAAGAAGAAGGTACAAGAATAGAGTGGATAAGACCCAGATAATAGATGTCAGCCACAGAATCAGATCCCAAAATTGGCAGTGGACAGGACACCTGGCAAGAAAGAACGGATAACAGATGGACTACAAAATTACAGCATGGTACCCACGTGGAATTAAGACCTAGAAGAAGACCAAGAGATGGGACCATGATATTAGGAAAATTAGCAGAGATAACCCAGGCCCGCAACAACAGACAACAATGGGCCCAACTACAAACAGAGTATCTAAATATGTGAGGGAGGCTGCGCCATAATTGGAAATGGTTGAATAAGCTGAGAGAATGATGATGATTTATTTATTTATTTATTTTAAGCATTTCTTTCTCTGTTTTCAAATTAGCTAAATAAAGGCATTCGTACCTTCCACATATTGACTTACCTCTGAATTACAAATTCAACGGCGGAAAATATGTCTATTATTAAAGTAAATGGTGGGTATAAGGATCCCGCACCGCATATCGAGGCCCGTGTAAACAAATTTTGGCACGTACCCTATTCCATCCGATCGAGCCGAGCGAGACCGTTCCTCATAAATTGATAATCGGAATTCTGCAGACGACTTCACAAAGCCAGATTTGGCCGGGTGTAAAGTATACAAGATCGGAAAGAAATTGTTAAAATGAAGCCCGTTAAAATGGAATTCTGGAAAGGAATAAAAATGGCGGAATAAAAAGGAAGAAATCTATGTATTTTCTAATAATTAATTGAACGTTTAGGATAACCATATTTTGTAATAATTTATCTGCCTTCTTTCGCCTGTCCCAAGACAATATTGCGTTGTTTCAATGTACGAGACATATTTCATCGTATAATCATATAAAATTTCATAGTTTTAGGTCAACTTTAAATCTATACTAATATATAAAATCCTTAAGTGACTGACTCACTGATTAATCACGATCCTGCTCAAACCGCTCAACGTAAGAAGCTCAATTTTGGCATACAGGTTGATTCTATGGTATAGAAGTTTGATAAGAAGGGATTTTTCGATTTTAAGATTTTTTAAAAATGTATACAGGGTGTTTCGAAAAATCTGGTCATTGGTTAATCAATTAAGCAGGATCGTGATTAACACGATCCTGCTTAAAGCGCTTGACGTAAAAAGCTGATTTTTGGCAAACGGATTGACTTTAGGATGTAGAGGTTCGATAAGAAGGGATTTTTTTAAGCTCCTATTCTAAAGGGGTGAAACCACCCCTCAAATATTGGAATATTTTTTATTTAAAAACCGGTGAGTTTTTCGGAAAAACTCTTAAACACGTATATTTTATTTTGTTGTTTTACATATTTTAAGATTTTTTTTAAAAATTTATACAGTATGTTTCATAAAATATGACCATTGAGTAATCACGATTCTGCTTAAACTGCTTGACGTTTAAAGCTGATTTTTGGCAAAGGGATTGACTGTGGGGTGTAGAGGTTCGATAAGGAGGGGTTTCTCGAATCTCAAATTCCAAGAGGGTGAAAACGCCCCTCAAATATGGGAAAACGCTTGGACACGCATAATTTATTTTGTTTTTTACATATTTCGAAATTTTTTAAAAAATCATACAGGGTGTTCAAAAAGTTGGGTAATTGATTAACCACGATTCTGCTTAAACTGCTTGACGTAAAAAGTTTATTTTTGGCAAAAGGATTTTTCGAAAGTCAAATTCCAACGAGATGAAATTACCCCTCAAATTTTACCAAGTTATATAATAATGTCGCCATATTGTTTTTTTCTCATGCACACATAAATGTGATAAAATTTTATCCAGTTTGTATGTTATGGAAATTCTTGCTTTGCATTATCATCACCATTACAAATGATTAATTCGACGCGAACGAAGTCGCGGGTACGCGCTAGTACCCTATAAATTTGATTTCCTTGGGAGTGTCGAAATATAAGTTTTTTTGCGGTGTGTGCGCGCATATTTGAAGTGAAACTTCTTACTAAGAGTTATAAAATGAAGGGTTTTAAGGACATGTTTCAAAAAGTCTAGTTTGAAATGTTGAAAAAGTAATAAAAATTAAAAAATTATTTTTTAGGTGTAACAAATATTTTTTTTCGTGTAACAAATAGTTTTGGACGCGTAAAAAATAGTTCTTTACCTGTAATAAATCGTTTTAGACGCGTAAAATAAAAAAATAATAACGATTTTGATTCACTTTCACAAAATTTGTATTAAAATATTAATATTTTTGATAAACACGTGGACTGCTCACAAATCCACGTCGCTTCACTACGTATTTCTAAGCCGTAGGCTGTCCTTACCACTTTTTGTCTCGCGTTTGTGTGTCACGGCCTTGAATTTTTACTCCCAGCACGCGCAAAGAAGTTTCACTTCAAAAAAGTAATAACATTGCCTTAGAACAAGTAGTCGTGCTTAACCAAGTGTCATAAAAGTTATGTTTATATTCTACTCTATATGTAACAAAGTTTTTTTTTTAATTTCAGATATTATTAGCTGGACAAAACGTCAATGACAATGAATGGCACACTGTAAGGTTTTCCAGGCGAGGATCTAACCTGAAACTACAGCTAGATAACCAGTCTCCAATCAGAGGTTAGTAATCTTAATAATTAATTTATACCGTTGCAATTTACAAAAGTCTTTACTACAGGATATTTATGCTGTAGTCCTGATTACCTGTTCACCTTTTCATTACTTTTTCAGTTAACATGCAAGGTCCGGCAATAGAGCTTTGGGCATCTGTATCTCCTAAAATAAAAAAAAACTTAGTAATGGTGTTTAAGTGCAGATCCATATGATAAATAAAAAACACATATTTTTCAGTCTTTTTAAAAAAAAAATTGTAGGGTTTTTTATAAACATTACCACTGCGAATGGCAGCTTTTCGTCGGAGAGCAGTCGTGGGTAAGGTATTTCACCGTACCCCGCCCGGTATCGTTATATGTCTTGGTGCAATTCCCTGGCCGCGACACTACAGTCAGGGACAAGACGATGAGTGAGATGCTTCTTAGACCAAGCCAAGTGCTAGAGGGGATTCCCCCCAGCACCTGACCAGGAGCTTCCCCACCAACGACAAGGTCTTGCATCTCCTAGGGGAAGTTTAGGATCTTAAACACTCTATACCTAACATTAATCTTTTTTGAGAAAAAAAATATTTAAAATTTTTGGACGGAAAAAACTGCCTGTCAAAAAATTTGTAGAGCATAAACGTCAAATTTACACCATTTGTAGAGCATAAACGTTAAATTACCACAGCCACTGTGCCATAAAGAGAAGACATGTGGCTATCTATTTCAAAAATTAAATTGTTCGAATATCATATAATAATGGCCGCAGCTGTCAATGAATTGAGCGATTAAAAAATTATCAGAAATTATTTTTTTCAAATGGGAGCCCGCTTTTTTTATTTTACTAGTGAAATGCTCCTATACCTAAAATATGTTTCTATACCTAAAAAAAAATGTTTTTAAGTTATTTAAGAGAGTATACAGAAGACCGAATGAACGGTATCTGGACACAACAGTCAGAGAAGCGATTCATTTGGGTAGCGGTTCCGTCATGGTATGGGGCGGTATAACTTTTATGGGCGTACGAACTTACAAGTCTTTCTAAACGGCATAATTAATGCTGAAACATACAGACATGAGATTCTTGAACCATATGTTATTCCATTTGCTGCTCAGTATGGTCCAGAATTCATCTTACAACAGGATAATGCCAGGCCTCATACTGCAAGAGTAGGTCCTCGATACCTTGAAGAGTATATCACAATAATTATGGATTGGTCTGCTAATAGCCCTGATCTCAATCCTATTGAGCACCTTTGGGACCTACTAAAGAGAAGACTACAAAGTCGTCCACAAGCACCAGATCTCCAAACTTTGGGGGAAAATCTTCGAGAGGAATGGAACGCCTCTCCCCAAGAGATTATTCGGAGCCTCATTCAGTCTATGGCAAATCCGTGTGCAGAAGTACGTAGAAAGCGTGGAGGACACACACATTATCTGTTGACAATTAAGATAAAAATTGTTCATTCCTAACATAATAAAAATACAAATTTCAGCAGTTTGACAATTTTTTTCGCCATGAACACCAAGGTTCATACTCTACATTCAAATTTAATTAAAAAAAAACTTAAAATTTATCAAAGCGATCCCTAATTCGTTTTGACTAGTTTATATTGATTATAATTAAGTTCTTTATTTTAATGATAACATTTACTACAATATTTAGACAGGTCAAAATTTGCACGCGATTTCCTATGTTTCCAACAACGATGCACCACCTGGTCGATAGAGGAATAAACACATCGCATTTTTCTCTCTCCAACTTACAAGAACGCCATAGCGATTCACTCCTAGACATCTAAATACCAACCCAAAACTCTCTGTTACCAACATGGTAATATTAATACCCAATATAAATATTTCAAGAGACATTTTGACCGTAATTTTATTCTCGAAAATATACCTACACATTTTGAATATTTATACATCATAACTTGCGAAAGTCTCCATATAAAAGGGTTAAATATAGTAATGTCGTGGGAAATTTAGGCCCGAATGCTGCCTACAACTGACCTTTATATTTTTGTATCTAATAGACTCATTTCAGTAAAACCTTATTCAAATGGCATAAACGTGTTCCAATTTGAACACACTCACAAAATAGGCTATTTTATAAAAATAAGTATTTATTCGGACATGATGTTATACAAAAAATAGATGAAATAAACCTCTTTTTAAATATATATCAATAAAGGAAATTATATTGTGCTTTATATTAAACAATGATATAAACAACATTAATTATTTTTGATTTGTTTATTTACACGTCATCATTATGATATTCGATTATGGTGTAGCTTTACTCACATATTTAGATAATCTCCTTTTTAATTGGGTCCATTGCTGTTTATTGTTGTCCCTTTTAATTTCCTAATATCATGGTCCTATGTTAGATTTAGTCTTATTCTATATAGGTCTCTTAATTCCTCGTGGGTACCATGCTCTAATTTTTGTGGTTCATCTGTTCTCAGTCCTTTTCGTCAGGTGTCCTGCCTATTGCCTCTTGAAGGATTTGATTCTGTGGACGATATCTATTACCTAGGTATTTTGTTGTACCCACTCTATTTTTTATAGTCTTTCTTTGTTATTCCCAACATATTTCGTACCATCAAGCGTTGTACGACCTGCAGCTTCCTTATAGTCTCGCTTTTAAGTGTCTAGGTTTCGCATGCATAGGTATAGTCTATCCAATGACAAGATCCTTGACAGTGTTATATATGTCTGTCATTTAATTTCAAAGTAGTTTATTTTATTTTACAAAGAAATAAGTTGGTACAATTGGAACGCATAGCAGGAAATTAATATATCTAAAATTTGACTGACTAGTAATTACTTCAAAATATTGTGAAAAAAAACTGCGTAAAACTGAAAAAATGTAATTGAGTTATTTTATTTAAAAAAAACGGAATGTGTTAATACAAAACAAACAAGAACAAAACACCTGTAAAATCGCTTATTTCTGGGGTTTACTCAACCGGGTCTCTCAATGCAAATTCACCTCAAATATCCATTTGATTGGTCATTGGCAAGCAGGCTCTCATTGTACATGAAAATAACAAAACAAACATTTACTGATCTGGATAAAATTGATAGTTAAATAGTAAAACTCACCCGGGGGTACTCCGCCCCATAGCCACTGGTATTCTATTCAATATATCCCATTCCATATCTTCCATCTAATTCAAATATTATTCGGATCTATTGGTTAATCTTCAACAAGTAGCTGGTGTCACCTGAAATAAGTATAGGGGCTTTCCCCGGACGCAAATCTGCAGCTAAATGCTAAACAGATTCGCATTCCTAATAGTCAAAAAGACTCGTATCCTTAATAGTCAATAAGACTCTTATCCAAATAGTCAATAAGACTCGTATTCAAATAGTCAATAAGACTCGTATCCTAATAGTCAATAAGACTCGTATCCAAATTGTCAATAAGACTCGTATCCTAATAGTCAATAAGACTCGTATCCAAATAGTCAATAAGACTCGTATCCTAATAGTATATATATCCTATAGTATAGTATATCCTAATCCTTTATACCTAACCTAACCTTACCTTAGTCATAAGACTCGCAACCTCCAAATGTCAGCTCTGTGACAAAACACAACACAACACTACTTAACAGCCGGTCGTCCCGTTTACTACCGACTGACCTGCCGCGCGCCGAAAAGCTAAGCCTCCTCTTACATCACATTTTTACCTGATCACAAATATTTACATCGCTTGCCAATGAATCATATTATTTTCTCTAATCGACTTTCAAATTAATGGAGTGTTCTAGCATTGCTAGATAAATAAATTGAAAGTTTCCGAATTATAAAACCATTATTATAACCAACTTATTTTCGTATATATATTTTTTATTAAGTTTTACACACCACATACCAAAAAAATATAAAAATGTACTATTTCTTACTTTCAAGCTTCAAGAAAGTTCCCGCATTTATTATTATATTTATCAATATAACTTATGTACAAATACAAAGTATAATATTCCACAGGAATAAATAAAACAACGTAAATAAAACAAACTATTTTATTAATAATAACACTTACCAAATTTTATACCTTAAAGTTTGATTAATTAACTTTAATGTTAATTTTTTTTAAACCAGTACCTTTTGACATTATTTTTCTGCAGTATTAAATAAAATCCATTATTTACCTATCGTGTGATGTCGATATTTTACAGCAACTCCAGTTTTTAGTATATGTTTAGTATACGATCCTTGTACAATATACGACATGCACTTATCTACGACGAGATGGTATACAAACTTTATTGATGGTAACTTTATTGGTGTATAAGACTTTCTGCCTGGGCAGCGTGTATTAACTATAAACTGTGCTCTGGCTCTACAGTTAAATTTCACTCGATTTTTCCTCCACTTGACTTCAAAAGACACAAAACACACATAACACGAATCAAAATGCAACTTCTTCCAAAACGCAGGGTATTTGACATAAATTGACACAAAATAATAACCTATAATTTGGCAAGACTTTGACAAGCCTCAAAAATCTAAAGGCCAGTTCATACGCATCGGCGTCCGTTTGTCGTTAATCATTCCGCCAAACCAATAAAATTGAAATATGATCTGTCATTTTTGAAATAAACCAATAAAACTGGTTAAAAACAACAAGAGACCACGCCTGACGGATTTATATTTAAACCCATCCATAGTTAACTTAAAAAATATTAGAAACTTTTTTTGGTAAAATAAATAGATTGGTATGGGACGTCATCTGCTTTTCTTCTGTCATCGTCTGTCGAAATCTTACTTGAGAAAAAAAAAACAGAGTAAATTCGTAGATAAAGTAGCATTATATATATTTGAATTTGAAATGAGTTTCCTTCCATATGCATTTACACATTTATTATTATTAAACTGAGTATATTGGAACACTTTCATTTTATAGAAACATTGAATCAAATTGCTGTGAAATGTTACACCCTGTACGGCTTTATTTAATAAAAGAACTCAGTCGCAAAGTATATATTTTCTTGTAAAAACTGCGACAAAAAATATTTAAATACCCAAATTGCTAAATAATTCCAAATTTAATCTTCCAATATTCGGCCGGATAAGAAGATTAAGCAATCACAATCAATATAAACGCTGAGTTATCAAAGTTTTAATTTGAATCTGTTCTTTGTCAGCCGAAGGGTAAACCATTTTTAATTCGACGGTCCCCAGAATCGATATTTTCCACTTCCTTCTACCCATGAGCGGATCCAAAACTTTTTAAAGAATTAGCATATTTTCCAGTTTTCCGAAAATTAAAAAAAAATTATGCTTAAAACGGTAAATTTAATTAAGAGAAATTTATACCACAAATGTATACAGTTAAACAATATTTCTAACGTTAAAGGTTTTATATAAAACACTATATCTAAGAAAATAACGGTTTTCTATCCACCTATACTCGTTTTTACGAAAGATGACAATTAAATCAGAATATTTTTATTTGGAAAAGACATGGAGAACAGATATTTAATTATATTAAGTTAAGAGTAGGACAACTTTTGAACTTATTGTCTTAATGAACACACATAAAGTGACTCAATACTCCATAGAAAGAACAATCTAGAAACATCCTTCATATACAGAGAAACGACCCGATTGCTAAGATTCAAGTTATTTAGAAATAACATAACGCAACAGTTGTTATTTTTACAAAATATCAGGTATAATACGTCACGTTATTTTATACGGCTCGAACCAGTTCCAAAATTTAACAGATTTGGGAAAATCAGTTTTCTGAAACGACAACTCGTGGCGGTCGAAATATAGCAGTAACAGTTTTTTTTACCAAGTAATAGTTTTTTTAATCCTTTGGATTAAATTATTATCCTTTGGATTCATACAAAACACCTCCACTGGAAACGTCGGGTATTTATGAAATTTCTTGTAAAGATTGTAATCAGAAATATGTTTTACTAGAAGATCAATATTAACTAGATTTAAAGAACATTTAGCTCAGATAAGATATGGTAGACCGGATAAATCTTGCGTTACTGAACATATTGTTGATAACCCAAGTAGCAAAAAGAAGTTCTAAAAAGATTGAATTATTTTATAACAGTCGAATAGCGTTGTCTGAAGGACTGCTTGATTTTATTAAACGTTTGGTTTCCACCATTCTGTTTTTTAATAAAAGTTGTCATATTAAACTGTTTTCTAGTGGTTTTTACAACGTATCCTATAACACATTAAACGATAATTTCTTTTAGTATGATATAACACTTGAATAAGACAATGCTATATGATAACAAACATATTATTTTATTAGACTCTTATACCCACCATGTAACATATAACTAGTAGTCACAAGATCATATAATAGTTACTTAAACTTGTCTTATTAAAGTTGTATTACGTTGTATGATAGAATGTTTTATTGCGTAAAACTACGGTGGTGTATACAACACTAGTTATATGTATAGCCTTATATGATAAAATTGTGATTAACAAAATAAATTCGCTGTAATATCTGCATTATAAAACTGATAATGTATAATATAACCTCATTTTAAATTAAATGGTATACCTAGTTATTTATTTTGTTATTGTTGTTGTTGCAAAAGTAATATCTACGTACGAGTATAATCAATCACAGCTATTATGAATTCCGGACAAAGTTGGAAAAAAGTTAACAAACTCAGTGATAGTTATAAAGAGCATGTAAGAAAAAACTCATCGAAATTACGGCAAATAATCCCGAGAATTCCCTGGGTTCCCAAAAGCCAAAATCTCTCGGGTTGTCTGGCTTCTTCAAAGCATTGTTGCCACGTTGATGTAAAAGTTTTACTGTAGTAATGTTTGTATTGTTTTAGCAATACGTAACTGAACGGAAAAAACATGTGCCATCTCTCTTGGGGAGATTCTTCGCATAAAAATAAGATTTATTTTTCATATCAACATAAGTCCAATTCTGCTTTGTTTCTTAGTTACAGGGTGTTAAAAACTTAATATTTTTTCGATTTATTATACTTTCCTTCAAAGTACTTTTAGCGTCTCGAGTGAAATTTTGAGGATGAAAGTTACTATAAATGCGACATATTTTAAAGCTAAAAAAGTGTCGACATATTCACCAGGGACGTGCATATGGGTTATCACCGGAATATTTTTCTAAAAAAAGCATATACGCCACTGACTTTTTTATCTCGTTAGCGAAATAGTGTAAGCAGTTTAATGCCGATTAAAAGTTGTCTCTTGATAATTTGTCGATTTCGGCCTCCTTGATGAGATAAACGCAATTTTATTAATTTGCCTTGATCCAAGTCTAATAGCTTTCGTCTTATCTTTAAAAAAAATAATATAATTAACTTGCGAAATTTTTAAATAAATAGTCATTGACTCCTCATCAGAAAATATGAAAAAACCTATAAACATGGGTATGGAAATGCATAGTTTTAGAGTTACAGGATGTTAAAACTTTTTAAAATTAGGTTTTTTGTAATTATCTTAAATACCATTATTTTTTTATTTGAAATTGCTGTAGGTTGGACTGATAGTAATAATACCGAATTATAAAAATATTTAATAATAAATTATGTAAAATATATAATTTATTAATTGTGATTAATAAAATTGCGTTTATCTCATCAAGGAGGCCGAATTCGACAAAATATTGAGAGATAACTTTTAATTGGCTTTAAACGGCCTACACAATTTTGATATCAAAAGAAAAAAAGTCAGTGGCACACATGTTCTTTTTTTTTAAATATTCCTGTGATAGGTAACCCATAAGCACGTCCCTGATGAATTTAACGACACTTTTTTAGTATTAAAATATGTAGCACTTATATTAACTTTTACCCTCAAAATTTCATTCGAATCACTAATAGTACTTGGAAGAAAATTATAATAAATCAAAAAAATAATAAGATTTTAATACCCTGTAGCAACGAAACAAAGCAGAATCAGACCTATGTTGATATGAAAAATAAATCGTATTTTTACATGAGGAATCTCTCCATGAGAGATGGCACATGTTTTTTGAAACACCCTGTATAAACAATTGTTGATTCAAATTCAACCATTGAGAAGCACTACAAAGATGGCGGAAAAATAATGTTTAATTTTTTATCTTAAAACGAAGAGCGATAGAATAATTTAATTTTGATTGAGTATTACTGCTATGAAAGCACATTATCTGCATAATTTTTCACTTTTATATAATTATGGGTTGAACTAGGCTACATCTTTATTATTCTTGTTTACTAAACTCAAATTAGAGATGGGTTGTTATTTAACTATCTGTTATTTTATAACAGTTATTTAAAAATATCATAGCGCATCCCTTGTTCTAAAAAAATACAGATATAAAATAACGACATGTAGAGATCGACCGCTTGTGATACGAAGTCGGCGCTCTGCATCGCCACGAAATTTTATGCGGCTCGAAGCAATTCCAAAAAATAACTAGTATGAAAAATCTCAGTTATTCGATAACGGTCGGTGGTCCAGATACAGCGAAGTGGGGAATGCACTACGGCGAACGTTGCTGCATCGGTCGATGGTCGATGTTGGGCTCGTAACAGTATAAAGATACCGTATATAAAATAAGCATTATACTACGTTATTTTTTAACCAGTTGCGAATATAACGCGTGGGGGTCGAGGTAACCGGAGTGGGGAAGTATCGCTGCTTCATCGGTCGATGGTCGCGATTGAGTTCGCAACGGGTTAGAGAATGACGTATAGAAAATAAACAGGTAACTTGGATAGGTTAGGTTAGGTTACTCCCATTGTATGTTGACGTGTCTTTATTTTATTTTTTCAGGTGTTTTCGAGAGGTACAATGCCTACCGCCATGCTGGAAACGTACAGTTCCTGCGATAGGCCCCCACCTTTGGACAAACTGAACTGTTATCGGGACGACGGCAAAGATGGTCTGAAATTCTACACAGATCCAAACTATTTCTTCGAGCTGTGGCGTGCCGAAATGCTGAACGACACGGAACGCGTCATGCACGATAAGGGCAAAAACAGGTAAGTCATTATTTTAAAGTATATATTTTTAGTAAGGATTTGTTTGTATACTTTAGTAGTTTTGCCTGAGATAGTTCAATTGTAATTTTCATTTTTACAGGGGTCATAGAGGAGGAAGGAGTTCTGCCGATGGTGCCCAAGGAGGACCTAGGCATAAAAAGCGAGTCAGGGCACCCCAGAATACTAGAGAAAGGCAAAAACAAATTGCTAGAGAACATGGAGAATATATTATGCCTCAACAGAATACAATTTATAGGTACCTCTGTTTTCTTTATGCATATTCTTCATTAAACATTTTGATTTAAATGTATGTGTATGTGTATTAAATAAAACTTTTTATAATAGGACTCCTCATCAAATACCACAGCAATATCAAGAAGTTGATGGTTATATTCCAAACCAAGATCAAAGACCTCCAAGACCCAATTCAATAGAGATTAGGAGATCGTATCAAAGAGACGTTGAACACATAGACGGTTTACATTCGCCTACCCTGTATCAAAATAATGGTCAAATTCCTAATTATGATGAGCAGAGCCTATATCATCATGGACTATATGGACAGGGACCTTTAAGGTAAGTAATCATACCTAGCATGCCTTGTTACTTTTATGTTTCAGTTTATAGGTACATTTTGTTTTTCAATATTTAGCCATTATACTTTGGATATACTGAATAATCTACATTTGTCCCTCTAGCTCTGAATCCTTATACGCTGGAGGCACCCCCACAAGAAGCAAATCGCGGCCTAGTCAACCCCCTCCAGCGCCCCCATCGAATCAAGGTACGCCGACTTCAGGTACTCCAACTCGAGGTAGGATCCCGTCTTCAGGTCGGGATCAGTTACCGCCGCCACCTCCTCCACCAGAGCCTACTTCGCCACCGCCTAACGGACTACCACCCCACATGTTACAAGTACGTAAACTTTAACTGAAAAAAGATATTTTCTTTGCCTAACCTAGGGTGTAATATAATTCAAGACTTGAAGTAAATAATTTGCAAGTGTCAAAATCAGTATTTTGAGATAAACAACATTTTTTGTTATATAACCAATGTATAAGAATGGGCGGTGTCTCTGTTGGGAATTTTTTTCAATACAATTCCGTGACACTTAAGGTGCCCATTCACATACAGTTTGCCAGCAGTTGTAGGACTGTACGATCTGAACTGAATCAGTCCACACACAACAGATCTAAACTTTGTCAGTCCACACACAATGCAGTTATAGTCTGTCCAACGACAAGATCCTTGACAGTGATAGATGTGTCTGTCATTTTAATTTCAAAGTAGGTAGTTTATTTTATTTTACAAAGAAATAAGTTGGTACAACTGGAACACATAGCAAGAAATTAATATATTTAAAATTTGACTGATAAGTGATTACTTCAAAATATTGTGAAAAAAAAACTGTATAAAACTGAAAAAATATAATCCAGTTATTTTATTTAAAAATACTGTATGTGTTAATACAAAACACACAAGAACAAAACACCACTTACCAAAAAAATATAAAAAAGAACTATTTCTTACTTATGTACAAATACAAATTTGTAATATTTCACAGTAACAAATAAAACAAACTATTTTATTAATAATAACACTTACCAAGTTTTATAGCTTATCTAAAGGTTGATTAATTAACTTTAATCTTAATTTTTTTAAACCAGTACCTTTTGACATTATTTTTCTGCAGTATTAATATCCATTATTTACCTATCGTGTGATGTCGATATTTTTTAGCTACTCCAGTAGTATATGTTTAGTAGGATCCTTGTAGCATATACGAGTATTTTCTCTGTGGTCTACAGTTAATTTTCCCACGATTTTTCCTCCACTTGACTTCAAAAGACACAAAACACACGTAATAACACGAATCAAAATGCATCGTTTTTCAAAACGCAAATATTTGACATAGGTTGACACAAAATTATAACCTATAATTTGGCAAGACTTTGACAAGTCTCAAAAATCTAAAGGCGAGTTCATACGTATCGGCGTCCATTTGTCGTTCATCGTTCCGTCAAACCAATAAAATTAAAATATGATCTGTCATTTTTGAAATAAACCAATAAAACTGGTTAAAAACAACAAGAGACGACACATGACGGATTTATATTTAAATCCATCCATAGTTAACATAAAAAATATTAGAAACTTTTTTTAGTAAAATAATTTGATTGGTATGGGGCGTCATCTGCTTTTTTTCTATCGTCTGTCGAAATCTTACCTAATAATAATCAAGACTTATAAACAGTGGGCATAGCGTGAGTTAGGGGCGCCCGGGCCGGAGAGCCTCTAGGAGGGAGGTTTGCCGCCCCTACAGAATCCGTCCGCCACATTTATAACAATTTTTTATCGTCCCGCAGGTATTTGGAGGGTCGCCGCCCGAGGCGTACCGTCCCCTCCGCCCCCGCCTTGCTACGCCACTGGTTATAAAAAATTAAATACTAGACCTTTAACCAGTGTGTGAGATGATCAAAATTTTAAAATTCAAAATTGTTCATGATTAAACATCAACAAAAAAGTCGTTCACCGCATATAGGGCTCTCGCCAGTAAGTATGATTTGCGAAATGCGGGAAAGAATGAAAGCGACTTGATATTCAAAGGCAGATGATTGTACATTTTTTTGCCATTATACAGTATTGACCCTTAACATTACCAGCAGATGATTAAAACTGGAAAATCTTCATCTACTGCTGACGCTAATATGGTTATCCAAATGTGCGTTCAGATTCTAAACTAAACTGTGTTTTTTTAGTAGAGTAATTTTTCGTAGTAACTCTAAAGTTTCATATTGATTTTTTTTTAATAAAATAATTTTATCTTTCTATAATAATAATTTATGTAATTCCAGCATCGAATGTCAGAAAGCCCGCACCGATCATCTACCCCCGAACTTCCGCTCAGTCCGCCACCGATCAACCACAACCAAGACCTTCCGCCGCCTCCGCCCGCGCCCACCCAGCAAACGCTCATCCAGACGAAACAGGCCTCGCCTCCCAAGCAACTCGCCGGCGGCCTCAACAGTTCTCAGGTCAACCAGTCGGCGGGCGTGGCCAGTCCGCCAGCCGCGCCCGCGGCTCCACCTCCTCCGCCGCCGCCGCCAATGCCGACGACTAACATCCACGCCCCGCCCGCCGGGCCAATGGTTAACGGGGATTTGATAAGGGCGTTGGCGAGCCCGCCCAAGCTGACGCCGGTCAAGGACAGGGTGTTGGGCAAGCTGGGACCGCCTCTAGCCGATCCAAGGAACGATTTGTTGAAGGTAAGTTACGACGTCTTCCGATTCCTAGTCTCTATTGTTGCCTATCTTGCCAGAGATTTGCGTCTAATTGTTTTTGTCTTCTGTTTCTCGATCTGTTCCCTCTCTCCAGCTTTTTCTTGGTCTTCTTCTTTTGCGCCTACCAGTGGATGTGCGATTCACAATTTGTTTTGGCAGTCTATTATTGATGGTCATTCTTGGACGTGCCTGTACCATTTAAGTTGATTTAGTTGGTTAGGTTAGGCTAGGTTGCAGTTGGTTAGACAACCTTGACAAACATAAGTTGCAACAGAGACACCTTAGAGAACTCTTAAAAATCAAATGGTTCCATCATGTCTCAAATGTATCGGTCCTTGAAAAAGCTAACTGCTTGAGTATTGAAGTCATGGTTACAAAATCCTGCTTAAGATGGGCTGGTCACATATGCAGAATGCATACCAAATACCGCATACCAAAATCTGCTCTACGGTGCGCTTGTAGACGGTAAGAGGAGGCCGAGCGAACAAAGCAATGAGATTTTTGAATGTCCGGAGTGCGGTAGAAAGATAACATCATGTATCAGGCTTTTCGGTCACAGAAAAAAAAGCTCATGAAAGAAAATGCCGTGCGTGACCATCTTCTGATGCCTGTATACTCGTCAGCGAGTAATGGCAGTATAATGTATATTATAGTATAAGTTGGGTTTTACTTTTATATTTTCCACTATAAAATGTTTGACGCCTTTAATTTCTCTGATCCTTTCGTTTGTAATTTTCTCCATCCTTAATTTCCCGGCTGATCGTCCCCAGAAGTCCATTTCTGTTGCTTCCAGCATCTTTTATGTGTTCTTCTTTAATTGCCATACTTCACTGCTATAAGTTGTAACGCTTTTTACAATACTGTTATTTATATTTTGTTTGTCAGTCTTGGATATGTTTTGGTCCCATAGAATGCTATTAAGTAGGCTAATAGTTCTTCGTTCTTGGGTATTTCTTTCTTGGATTGCTTGCTTCAACTCAAGTTTTAGTTAGGTTTACTTCAAGACCCCAATGTTTGTATCTTTCGATGAGTTTTTTTTTGACATAGTATATTGTAGATCTTCATAATCTTGAGCCAACACTATTTGATCATCCGAGGAACATAACGTATATGTATAGGGTGGAATCGCCAGTCATGTTTTTAATGCTTGTTCAAAAAGAACAAGCAAGT